AAGAAACGCGATAAGGCGAGTCCTACGAGTTACTCCGACACCTTTCGTTGATCCGTGCCTCGACGCGAGAACGCGGTAAACAGGGACGTGGAGATTGACGAAGGAGCTGACGAAGGGATGACGTACGGATGGTCAGTGTTCGTTTCGGGTGTCAATCGTAGGTACCGTTAACTGTCAATTCCGTCGAGTAGCTGGTTGCGCCGGCTGCGTTCGAGGCAACGCACGTGTACGTGCCCGCGTGACTCGGACTGGCCGAGTCTATGGACAGCAGGCTGTTCCTTTTGGTGGTAGTGACGGATATCCGGTGTGTCCCGTCGATAGGCAACTCGTTCAGCGCCCAGCTGATCTCGAGCGGGGAATCCCCGTTGACTACGGTGCAGACAGCCGATACGGAATCGCCCCAGTTCACAGCCCTGTCGGCCATTTCGAACGGGGCAATGCGCGGCGGTACTGTCGACGTGACAAGAACGCTATGGATAGCAGGACACGCGTCGATACCACGGTTTAATGGAAAGCATACGGCGCTGATATCGGACACCTAAACGAAATCGTTCCACGCAGGGAGGAGGACGCTCAGAAATTTACACACCTTCACCCTCAGTGTTACCCCCGATGTTTCGCACGGCCGACCAACCACCCGATAGTTTCAGGCTAACCAAAGCGTTTACCGTTTACTGAAAGAACCGAGGTGTGCGCAGCGGATCCGGCTGCGTTGCTCGCGGCGCACTTATACTCGCCCGCGTGTCTTGCGGCTACAGAGTCTATCGTCAGGGTGCTGATCCGTTTACTACTTCTGGTCACGACGATGTCAGGAGTGTCGTAACTGTGGTCGCCGGACACGAGTCCGACATCGATAGGCCGACCGTTCAGTGACCACACGATCCTCACCGGCAGGTCGCCTTTGATCACGGCGCACTGAACGGTGGCCATCTCTCCGGCGTTGGCGGCCTCGTCACCGAACACGAAAGGCGCCAACTGCGGCGCGACTGCAAGATCGAAAACAACTTTGAATCGCGATCGTCGCGAGAATTGGAGCTACCAGAGAGGGGACGCGCCTCCTCGAGCTTGTTCGTCGGATGGCGGGGATTACGAGTGACCATGGAGCGAATCAAGAGACGGCTGCTTACGGGATCGGGATACTCAGGCGTGGAACAACGTTATTTAAAAAACTGTAAAGAAAAAGCAATACGGAAAACGTGAAGAACAAACACGGGCCATCGTCTCGCTGCATTCGCGGGATGGACCGTGTCCTTACCTGCCGTCGTCACCGACGATAATCTTACCTTCCCCGTCTACTACGCGCTAAACCGACGATCGCGCAGCTCGATCATCGGCGCGACGACGGCAGTCGCCTTCGATTAACATTATATGAAGGTTACTGCGATAAATACTATGAAGATTACTGCGAAAAACAAGATGTTACGAGAGAGAATACTGAAATCAGACAAAGCGATTGAAAAACGCACCGACCGACCTCCCGAGGCAGTACCCCCGAAAAACCCTCCAAAAATAATCCCCCGTCCGACGAGGATCCATTAACGAAATCTCTATATCTTTTCAGAGTTGGCGAGGTTATACCGGGAATATCGAGACCACGATTATAATTATTTCTGAGGAGGACTTCGAAACGTAGGAAGCAAGAATCGGGAAGCGCAGGTCTCCATAATGGAGCCGAACCGTCCCACATCCGCCGAGAGGTATCTTCCCGTGATCGATGGCTGCCTTCCCGGGACGTCGGTACGTTTTTTGTTCGTTACCAGCACGCGGTACAATCGCAAATTAATATAAATTCGTGTACGAGGGGGTACCGTTGACCGAGAGTACAGCGATGTGACTGTCAGATCCAGCGGCATTGGTCGCGATGCACTTGTATCTTCCGGCGTGCCTCGCCGCCACGCTGTCGATGCTCAAGAAGCTGACCCTGCTAGTGGTTAGGATATTTACGTCCGGTCTGCCCGAGTCTATCGGGGTGTCGTCGAACGTCCACGCCAGGGCCAGCGGGAAGTCGCCCTTGACGATCGTGCAAGAAACCGACAGCATCTCGCCGGAGTTGAGGGGTTCGTCGCCGAAAGAGAACTGGAGGATCTGTGGCGCGACTGCGCGATCGAACCACGAGACGGGAAACGACGGAACGTGAAAAAGAACGAACAGAAACTGATCGAGAAAGGGTTGGTTCGAGAACCTGAAGCGGACGGAGGAGCCTCCGGTCGCAGCCGCGCGCGATCACAGATCCGAGCGTCGATCGTACCAAAGGATCGTCGGTCCTACGCGTGGATAGATCTTGGAGGACCGTCGAGAGATAGGCGGAACAATGCATGGGGGGGGGAAAGAGAATCGCCAAAGGTCTAGGAAGATGAGAGGATACGCGCAATGGCGAGGGCGACAGTTAGATAACTTGTACGCAAGTACCGTTTACGGTTAGCCGAGCGGAGTGCGTCGTGGCACCGGCGCGATTCGACGCGGAACAAGTATAGTCCCCGGCGTGCCTAGCCGCGACCGACTCGATAGTCAGGACGCTGTTTTTCTTGTTCGTGCTCGCTATGACGACGTCGGATCCATGGCGGCTGTCGATCGGAGCCCCGTTAAACGCCCACGAGATCTCGAGGGGCTGATCGCCCTTGGTCACCGTGCAAGTCACGGAGATCAGCTCGGCCCAGCTGGCGGGCTCGTCCCCGAACGTGAATGGCAGTATTTGCGGGGCGACTGGAAACAACGACTAGAAGAGTCGAGGCGACGCTACTATCGATCCTAGGTACGCCGATCCTGGCGGGTGATCCGCGATGGGGTTGGTATGGCGGCGATGAATGAGACTGACGCGCGACAGGAGAGGAAGGGTTACGTGGGAGGAACGATCGGCAGAAGCGAAAACAGGAATCGTGGAGGAGGGAACGGAGGAAGGAGAACGAAAAGGGAATCGTACCGTTGACCGTTAGGGTTGCTGATCGACTGACGGAACCGGCAAGATTCGATGCGGAGCAGGCATACTCTCCGGCGTGTCTTGCTGAGACGCCGTCGATGCTAAGGGTGCTCAGATGTTTGCTGATTTTCGTGATCGTGATACTAGCGTCTTTCGACGTGTCGATCGGCACACCGTTGAACGCCCACGATATGTCCATGGGCATGTCGCCTTTCAAGATCGAGCAGGGCACGGACACGGAGTCTCCCGAGTTGGCGACATCGGCATTGAAAGCGATCGGCAGAAGCTGCGGGCCGACTGAAGTCATCGTACGTTAGAGTATCGTCGTCCATTCTAGCGCGCACCATCGACGACGTATGTATCGAACGGATCGACGGAAACGTTAGAGTTCTCGATGCAGGACGTCGGGGACCAGGATGTTCAAGAGGGATTCGCTACTGTGCTCTTTGCCAGGGATTGTGCATAAACGCAACGAAACGAAATTAACGTAAAATAAAGGCGATAAACTGTACTCCATAGGAACGGATCATAGTCCCAAACCATTGACGGTGAGCGTGGTCGAGTGGGACGCCGTTCCAGCCGCGTTTTGAGCGGTGCAAACGTACTCTCCCGCGTGTCTCGCGGTGATGACTGAGATCATGAGCATGCTAACGCGATCCGCGACCTTCGTCACAATTACGCCGGAGGAACCGCCCATCTCTTCTCCGGGATAGCTCCAACGTATGTTCAATGGCAGATCACCGGACGATACGGAACATTGCAGATTAGCGAACTCTCCGGCGTTCATGGGTAGCTTCTTGAACGAGAACTCCTCTATCATGGGCGGCACTGAGGGTGGAGGAGCGATGTATGGTTTGGTGTCGGGTCGCGAGCGCATGTATGTATGTACGTGAACATGAACGGTGTCGTAACGTCGTGTGGTCCTGCGAAAGTCGACGGGCTGGCTGCGTCGTGATAAAAAATTCCCGCCGAAAATAGCTCCGAAACGATTTCATCGCGCGCGAAAAGGTACTCCCAAGACGCGCAGCCAACCCATTGGCCGGCAATATGTACAGCGACGCGATACTCTGTCGAGCAGCGGTTGCTACAAATGTGGTGGACGCGCGAAGAGAGAACAATTCTGACAAGAATGCACCAGATTTCTTACGGTCGATCGTCGGCCACCGCCATACCAACTTCCAACGTTCCAAACGGAAGCGCTCGTGCCTCGTTTTCGAGACGCTTTCGCGCTACCGTGATCAACTTGTTCGTGAAATCTGCAACGGGCTCGTCGTCCGTGTGCGTGTCCGCGTCCGTGTCCGTGTCCGTTTTCCGTTCGCGGTTTTCCGATTTACGCGAGTCTACGTACTGTTCGCGCGACCCACGGTTCGACCGTGGTATTCGACAGGATGTAACCCCGGCCCTATCGACACCGTCGAAAGGAGCCAAGTTTCGCTGAAAGAATCGTTACAGCTGTAATTGAACGTCGAACGCTAATCGTGTAACGTTCGTCGGATCGTCGAACACCTGGGATACCTGTAAATAATGGTTCACGGAATGCTCCGTCAACGATTTCGCACGCGATCGTCTACTCGTCGAACACATATTTTTCAAACGGCCTAAAACTCGGCGAAAAGAACTTTGGATTACTCGAAATCCAATTTTCCAATTCGATGCTAAGAAATTTTGTAGAAAAGTTTGCTTTCGATTAGATCAATTTTCCGTTTACGATTTCGCGAGATCGATATAATCGATAAACGTCTGCCGACACCGATCTTTATGAACCTTTGCAGGCTTGTCTAGCAGCGAAAATTAAGGGACGCATATTTCCTTCTAACCATGGAAACTCAAACTTAATAGTTGCTGATAAAAAATGATATATCTCTTTTATGTAAACACACTATCATTAGCACCATACAAGGTGTTTCTGTATCCCCATCTATTTTCAACTCAACATTTCTTTAACTCGACCGTCTCTAATTAAAAAAATATGCCCTTTAATAATCGAATGCTCCGTAAGTCTGCAAAGTTTCGCGAAAACTGGCGTCGGGCAGTTCGCGGATGTTCCCTGTGAAAGGAGCGGAGTAAAGGAAGACAGACTTACCCATAACTTGGACTTCGAGTGTTCCTCTTGCGCTGTATCCTTGGGCGTTGCGTGCAACACAGGTGTAGGTGGCCTGATCGCTCATTCTATCGACGTTCTCGATGATAAGAGTGCCGTTGGGGAAGACCTTCTGTTTCCTGTTGATCGGTAGAACTCTGGTGTCTCGTTCCCATACAATGCTCTCGATCGGATATCCGGCGACGGGGCAAGTCACACGAAGAGTTTCACCTGCGACGATAGCTTTTTTGTCCATGTGGCGGATGAAGGGCAGACCGTAGACGTTCAGACGAGCGGAGTGTTCGGCGGATCCAACCTGTAATCACGCGAAACGTCGATCATTACCGCGTCCTTCGTTCCTCATTGTCCTCGAGGACAACAAAAAAGAGACCCGAGAACGCAGCTTCCTTACCTTTGACGCGGCGATACATTTGTAGAGTCCACCATCGTTGGTGTGAATGCTGGAGATGTTCAGGTGAGAAACCACGTCGCCATTCACCGTAACGTACTGTCCTACTTGAAGCCTCTCGGTGTTGGATAGCCGTTTGCCATCGAGTTCCCAGGTAATTTCAGGAGTTGGGTTTCCACTGGCGACACACTTCAAGAACATGCTCGGTCCGGGTTGAAGAGTCTCCTCGGCGAAGGCCTGACGGATCTGCGGGGGTTCGACTGCGGACGTGGAAACGTTTCTTCTTAATTAATTAGGCCCCCCAGTCTGACAAAAGCCAGAAGCCACGAGCGTTTTTGCGATATTGGACTTACATCTGCCGCCTAGTTTGAGCTCAGCCGTTGCCTGGGCGCTTTCCTGGTCGTTTCTGACGAAGCACTGATACATTCCCTTGTCCTCCTTCTTCACGCTCTCGATCCTGAGCACGGGTTCCTCCAGTCCAAGGGGTTTGCCGTCCTTCAGCCACGAGATCGTCTTAATGGGGTTTCCTCTAACGTTGCAGGTGAAGGTGGCTGGTCTACCAAAGTCGATGGTCTGGGTGCTGGGCTCGATTTCTGCTGCCAACGGGGCTGTCACTGTCAACACGGTCTCCACGCTCTCACCGCCCACAGAGTTGTTCACGATGCACAGGTATTTGCCGGAATCCTCGACACGAGCCTCACGGATGATCAGTGTACCGCTGACCTGGCGAACGCGATCGTTCAGCTGCACCGGTTGACGACGAGACGAGCCTTCGATGAACTTGTACCATCTGAAACGACAGAACGAAGGGGATTGTTTTGCGGGTCGATCGCCGGGACGAAGACAGCTTCGTGCCGGGTACGTTAATATTGAAAATGAAAATCTCGTGTGAAATGAAGCCAATAGAAACGCGTCTTTTCGACCTGTCCTAGCCGCGAGAAACGAGGACGCGTCGAACGACGAGGCGCGACGCTCTCGATAGACCAGTTTCTCTTCGCTTCGCTCTCCACACTGGTTTCGTTTCTTTATTTCGCGTGCGGGGTGTTATTAAAAACGTGGGACCTTTTCTGGGACCGATTCGTCCAGCAAATATTAATTGGAAAGCCCTTCGACCGCTTCGAATGTACGCGACTTCCGGCGCGTGCTTCGATCGATGCACAAACTTTAATACATTATTTCACTGGGTATATATTACTGGATTCACTGTAATTTGGTTGGCATTTTGACTTTAAACCTGCAGAATAAACACTGGCCCGACCAAAATTGTCAATCTTGGATAAAGAGAAGAGAGGAGAATGAAAAGCAAACACACCAGCGGGACGATGACCCCGATGCGGTGCATCGTTTGCTTTCATGCAACGCGGATTCTATCTGTGGTATTTTCCTGGCCATAATCCGTTATAAATCTCGAACACGTTGACCGAAACCATGCGCCTTGCATCACTGACCAACCATCGTGTTTCTCTAAAGCTAAGTGCAATACGACTACTAGATAAATTGATCGTACATTAATTCTGTTATTATTAAAAGATTGAAACAAATTTTATGGTTAAAACCAGTGCAAAAATGTATTGAAAACCACGTAGGTTCGTTCGAAGTAGAGCCATCGGTAACACGACGCGTGTAACTGTGCATCGATGTGTGTTTTTCGCGCACCAGTGCGTACGTGTGCGCTCGGCTGGCTTGAGATTCAAACAGCGCGCGCCGGAAGTCACACCTGAAAAATTGAAGCACTCGCAGGATCCGGATAACATGTAAAAACGGCCACGACGTGATTTCCGAACGAATAACTAAATTGTGCATTTTCAAATCTCGATATTCTTGAAAACTAAGCCGGAACTTGTTCTTAATTTTTTGTGATTAATCGTTTACAGGTTATTCGGTGTAAAATGGCAAAATGGCAAAGGGCTTTTCGATTCGTACTGACGCGACGAAACGGTCCTGAAAGAAGGTCCCACATTTTCAGCGACACGCTGTACAATGTATATGCAGGGCTTTGGGCGTCTCTGGGCGCGGGCTTCTGTCTACTGCCGGCTCATTAGCGCGTGTCTCGCAAAACTTAATCAGAAGGAAGGAGAGTTTCAGCGCAGCTGGAACATACAGCGGTCGTAAAAGCAGAGCAGGTCAGGAGAGGTGGGAGGGAGGAGGCTGGCAGCGGCAACTTCGTCATGAGCGGAAACAAAAAGTGCGCGAGCACGCGTACACAGACGGACGAGTCGAACAGTACCTGAGGGGAGAAAGCGAGTGAGTCGTCTCCTCGATTCGAGACACCGATGAAACTTAACGAAAAGAAACGAACGACCGAAATCAAGAAAAGGATCGCTCGAACGATCGACGAAAGGTAAGCTCGCGTTAAACGAAAATAAACTTCCGTTTCCAATCGTGGGTAAGACGAATGGTCCCGTAAACGTTGCAAAAGTTTGGAACGGAGGGTGGTGAGCGAGCGATAGGTGCGACTTACACGAAAATTAACAAATATTCCTGGTGAGTGAGAGAGATAGAAGGTTGCTGGGGGAGAGTGAAAAACACGAACGGATGAACGGAGACACGAAGGCGGCGAGGACTTACCAGCCAGATATCGTGGGACTTATTGGAGGTGTGCAGGTGCAGGGCAACATTGTTCGCCCCAATGATCGGGTGACACCCTCTCGGACCACCCGGATCAGCACCGAGGCTACCGGAGGAGAAGAGGGCCCGCATCCTTTTCGGAGTCGCGCTTCCGTCACCTATCTCGGGGTTGCGCCACGGGGCTCCAGTTGGCACTGAAAACCAACACGTCCGATTGGCCCCGGATACGGGATAGACACTTTCCTGTTCCTTTTCATCTTAATCAGTCGTTCGTTTACCCTCTTCCCTGCCCTATTGCTCGTAACTCTAACTAGATGCTTCAGAGCCGCGATCGACGTTCAAACTTAAATCGAGACGATAACATATCGCGGGAAAAACGTCTGTACTCGCGGCGATTCAAATTTCCCCTAACTCGTTACTCTTCTATAATCTATGAGCGTCGTGATCTTGGATCGACGCTATCCATGCCTAGCCCACATTTTCCCTTGCCGTTTCGTTCGAGGCTACGCCCTCTTTTGCGTTCCCCTATCTTCGTATATTCGGCAATTTACTTTTCGTTCTTCCCGTTTTGCCTTTCATTTTTCTCGTCTCTTCGTCCCTGTCAAACGTCCAACTTCTCGGATTTTGCGGTACCGCCTCCCGACACGGGGTAGAGGGTAAGGATGGAACGCTTCGAAAATAGGATCCGTGCTCTGCGGAGCAAGACAAACGACCAAACAAAAGAAAAAAAAGAGAGAAGCTATACGGAACTTTTGTGTACCTAGAGATCGGGGCAGGAAAGCCTTGTGCCGCACACGCCAGCGCCAGAGACTCGCCCTCTACCCCGCGGTACTTATTAAGGCCGTCTCCAGTCCCTTTTGGGGCAGTACGACCGGACGGTTCTGCAACGATACCATTTATTGCCCAGAATACTCGTCAATTTTCCCTTTTAATTTATCCAGAATTAGAGTCGGGTTTATAGACCGTTGCAAAGATTCCTTCGCGAGAAAGGGGCTCCCAGTATGCATTTTTTGTCGGACTATCGAGACTGCCTGAAAGATCAGAAGACTAATGAACCTAGGAGAAGGTGAAAAGACATTTTGCACTGTGATTATTGCACGTCCGGGAGCCCCTTGTCGCGAAAGGTGAAATACAGAATTACGTACCTCTGGTTCCATCCCGTTGGTCATCATCCTGAGTCGAGCACATTAAATCATCGCATGCCACTTACCTGGGAACAATTTCGCCGCTCCTGGGGCGATCGGGTCCATAGGAAGGTACAGATATCAACTGATTCGACTCATCGACGACGACGACGACGACAACGAGGGTACTTAGGAATGACGGGCGAACGAGGGGGGTTGTCTACCTTGTCAGGGGCACGGGGAATCCCTGGAGCGCGTGATTCAACGCGACATCCTGACCTCTAGCAGCCAAAACCACTTCCCTTTCGAATTTCTTGCCCGACGACCGGGGCGCAATCTTGGTCGTACCCTCTGAAACGCGATCATTGTGTCTCGAGAACAAACGGGCCCGTTAAAGTCGCGGTACCTTGTCACTGGGACAGGAAATCCCTGAGTCGAGCAGTCCATAGCCACCACCATCGTCCTCGAAACGTCCACGAGTTTCCCACCCTCGTAACGTTCGCCGGCAATACGTGGCGCGACATTGCCCGTCGGTTCTGTGAACAGGACCCGAGCGCAACGCAACGCCTGGCTAATGATATTCAAGGCGGAGATGAGCCGGAAAACGATCGAATACCCGTACCAGGATCGCCACCGCCCGAGGCAACCTTCGACCCCTTTGTTTCTCTATCCTACCTGAACGTGGGCGCCGGGAAACCTTGAACGGGACACGGCAGGCCCACCATTAGATCAACTAGTACGTCCCTCTTCAGTCCATTGACATCCTTGTCCCGCACGTTTGGACGTACGCTACCCCGTGGCTCTGCAATACCGTAAAATTCCGGGATGGGGAAACGTTTTGTCGTCGTTGTCGAATACGTCGTCGATGGGGCACGCGACGTCACATCGAGGAAAAGAGACGCGAAGACGAACGACCGGCCGACGGGGACTAATAGCTCATCAGCCCACTACACTTTCCGTACAAAGTTTAACTCCGGTTGGTAAATTGGACGCGAACGACAGTTCTCGTTACAGGGATAACGAATTTCTTGATTCTCGCGCTGGAAAACTTCCTTCCAAAGACATAATTAATTTTCGAGTAGCGTTTCCTCTAAAAGTGCAACTTTTTACATCTGTCATAGACACGAGCGACGCAGCCTGGGAGGAAACATATTCGTTCCTCTATAACGCGGCACGCAAAGGGTTAAAGAGTATCTACTTTGAAGCGAAAGCCGGCAGTGACTGTACCACAAATAAAAATGCAGATACATTCAATTCTCTCTTTACACGGTAAATACGTTCCCCAAAGAACACCGCGCGAAAAAGAACCGTGTATAGAGAGACACATGTATAAATAGAGAATTTATTCCGCGTCTTTCAAAAGAATTATTTGTAAAGGGAGAAGATCCAATAGCTTGTGCAAAAACTGTTTTTGTGAACTCCTGTGTAACCGCAACGAATCGAGATATCAAAAGACTACAGGAACAACTTTTTATCACGATCTCTGTAACTTTAGATATGAAGTCTAGAATCAAATGAACTTTTTCAGCTTGTTAGCCAAGAAATCCTTTATTATAATAAAATAATCGTTCACGAGCAAGTTACCGGACCGGGTGAAAATTTTCCACAGAAAGTGTGGTGGGTTTGATAGACTGTAAGCCAAAATAGGAAGCACGTCGCGACGCTCTCGCACGTTGCTCACCTGTATAGAGGCGGAGGACTGGCCTGAGCCTCGCAGAGCAACGTCGAAGCTTGGCCCTGGACAGTGGTCAAGCCGTCCAATTTCGATCGAGGCGGCAACCGAGGAGGACTACCACCGACCGGCTCTAGAAACCAAAACGAAGGAATGGTTCACGCGTCGACCGTCGGTCTGTCGATCGAATATCTTCGCGTGACTCTCGGTGTCGTTGCGTGCGGAACAAGATGTTTAACGCGGTCAGGCGAGTGAGACCGTTCCGGGCGCGCGGTCCATCGAGCCGCGGACGAAGAAACGACGATGATAATTGCGGGATGCATCGGAAGAGCGTTTTCCGTTGCTCGTCGAAGCGTACCTGAAGATCGGCAATGGATGCGCTTGGGCCTGACACAGCAAGGCCAGCGACTTTTCCGCCGGTAGCGA